CCAGGCTGACTAGTTGCGAATCCCAGCTCCTGTGTGACTTTGGGTAAATTACTTAATCTCTTTGTTTCTCAGTTTCTTTTTCTGTAATAGGGTATTGTTATAAAGAATAAATGAGTTAATAAATAGAAGGTGCTTAAAATAGCACTTGTTACATAGTAAGTGCTCAATACATATTACCAGCTATTATGGTCATCATTATTCTATGATATGAGACTGACTAGTTTGTAGTATTACTGTCTTGGTGGCTCAATTCATGAGATGCAAACCAGGTGGAATGTTTGCAAAAGATAGCAGCATTATCACAATGAAAGCATGAGTTCTATTAGTGATGTTTATATTTTTTGGCGTGTAGCAACTGTGTATGGATATATTCAGGGTGGGGCAAAGTAGGGTTACAGTTGTGAGTATGCAAAACACAATTTATTCTTGTATTATTATTATTTATTAATTATTGTATTATATTCCATAAAAACAACTGTAAACCTACTTTTGCTCCACCCTGTATTTCTTTCCAAAATCCGTAAGATGAGAACAAAGCCATAAGAATGCTTCCAGAAAATCCTGTGGCTGGATCAAGTCTTTTTTTTTTCTTTTTTAATCCTCACCTGAGGATATGTTTGTTTTTTATTGATTCTAGAGGGAGAGGAAGGGAGAGAGGGAAACATCGATGTGACAAAGAAACACTGATAAGTTGCCTCGCATGAACACCCAGACCAGGGATTGAATCTGCAACCTAGGTATGTACTCTGACAAGGAATAGAACCCACAACCTTTTGGTGCATGGGATGACACTCCAACAGACGGAGCCATCCAGCTAGGACTGGATCAAGTCTTTTTTCAATTACTAATTCTCTTAGAATAAATTTCATTATAACAGGTTGGGTCTCAGATATTCTGGGTAAACAATCTTATCCAGGAGATGTGTCTCACAAAGATAACACTAAACATTATGTCATATGCATACTACTAAACACAGTACAGCACATACCACTACACACAATGTGTCTCACACACATATTACTTACTAAATCTGCACATAAATCATATGAAGTGAGGAATATGTTTATACTTTATGCATTATACAATTAAAAGCCAGGGAAGTTAAATGACACTCACATCACATAGTAAAGTGGCATCGTCAGTAGTAATTCCTGAGTCTGAGTACTTTCCAGAAAAATACAGACAGGTATCCAAAGAACACTAAAAATCTAATAAAACTAAGATCTAATTAAAATAATCATTTTTACTCCTATATCAAACAGCAGTCTAAATAATAAGAAATAGAAACATTTTAGAATGGCTGCCACTGTCCAAAATAATAACAACCAGAAAAAATATTAGGCAAATGGAATCAAATTATTAAGGAGTTTTTCTGTCTTAAGGAAAAGAATCATAATGATCAAGATATTATCAGTACATATGGCATTTACTGTAAAGATCCCCCAAAAGAACTGATACTCTTTTCTCAAACTAGCTTCAGCTCTCAAGTGGACAATGTTGTAATGTTGTAGAAGAATATTCTTTTCCTAATATCTCTAACAAATTTTGATTAAATATCAAATACTTGTACAGACAATAATGATTTATTCTGGGTACCTACTATTTTCTATTCTTTCCAGAAGAAAATTATTTAATGAAGTTTCTAAAATTTTTGGAATCACCTGTGATTTTGTGTTCTTCACAAAGTTTTACACTGAATCCTGCCTCCTGTTAAAGTATTTCTGGTCTCCATCCCCTTTCTCTCCATTCTAGTCCAGTTTCTTAGTCTAGACCAGCCGTGGGCAAACTACGGCCCGCGGGCCGGATCCGGCCCGTTTGAAATGAATAAAACTAAAAAAAAAAAAGACCATACCCTTTTATGTAATGATGTTTACTTTGAATTTATATTAGTTCACACAAACACTCCATCCATGCTTTTGTTCCGGCCCTCTGGTCCAGTTTAAGAACCCATTGTGGCCCTCGAGTCAAAAAGTTTGCCCACCCCTGGTCTAGACCTTGCAATATCACCCTGACTTCCCTAACCAGAGGATCTTCCTATATCACATTTCCTTACCCATTTTTAAATCTGCCATAGCATCTAAGAAAGTTTGCATACTGTCAGCATTCTATAAATGTTCCTGAATAAATGAAATAGCTTTCTGTACTTCAATCCATTGTTCAAAATCCTTTAGTGACTCCTACTGCTTAATTCCACATAAGTCTAACTTTCACTGCCTGGCATTCAAGATTCTATAAAACCTAGCACAATTTACTATCCAACCTTAAATACCCCAATTCCATACCCAAGTCCTATTTCAGCAATTGATTTCAAGGATACCTAAGGTTTGCTTCTGCTTCCATAGCTGCTCCTCTAGTGCTATAAAAGTATTCTGTTCAGTCCTCACTTCCTATCCAACTTGGGTTCATTCTTCAAGTTGCAACAAAAATTTCTACTTCTTCATTAATCTTCCTAAACTAACACATAGGAGAATTTTCTGGAATCGCTATAAA